TGAATATAGCCACAATTTAAAAGCGATTATCCTCCTGGGGAGGTTCCCTCGTGAGCCTGGAGTTAGTTAGTATCTTTATACAATATTTATTTTTACTTTCTTTGACTTTCGATAATTAAATATCATTTAGAGAGAAAAGTAATGTGTTCATTGTGCTTCAATTTCTCAATGGTTAGAACATTTGTCCAGAGAACCAGTATTCGGTCATGGGTTCGATTCCCGATGGAAACATATATTTTCTTTTCTGTTTGTATGTCGAAAGTCAAAGAAAGTAAAAATAAGTATTGTATAAACGTTACATATACTCATTTCTATGATTTGAATGCAGGGGGAAAAGGTGATTAATGAGTTTTAGTGATTTTTTTGAGTTGGGCTGATTTAAGATGAGTTTCAGAGAGTGAAAAAGTCCCCGGAAATATGTGAAAATTGTGGAAAATCACAGAGTACCAAAGATAGTCACTCGAACTCATTGTAACTCACTAAAACTCAATTGATGTTAGATGATTTTTGACTGATTTAGGGATGATTTAAATCACTTATTTTTCCCTTGTTTGAATTAGTTAGTATTTGTTTACACTGTTACTTATTCCTTTTCAGATCATTATAGGTGCTCAATTTTCGTTTGGGGTACATTTATTCTGTGTAAATATTTGATAAAAGCAACCTGTCCGTGAAAAATCATGGCCATGGAGATGTCCGAGTCAAATTTACACGACAAACGTGAACACGACAGTAATAAAGGAACTCTGTACTTTGATCCAGAGTCAGACACCGCTGAAGGTCCTTGCCATACTATCCATCATAACGATCTTCTTAAAGAATTTGACAAAATTACTGGGACGAAACCTGACAAAATCTTGTGGATTGCGGTGTATGCAACGCCATTGACTTCAGTACAGTGGAGCCTTGGAATGTTCTATCATGCGTTTCTAGTATTTGAAACTGAAAACTGGTACTATTCAATGGAGACATCAGAAAAAAATATCACCCTGCAGCGATCCAAGAAAGTGATTTTTGTTCGTGATAAGTACCTGAGAGAGAACAGAAAAACCACAATTGTTAGTACAGGAACCGTCTGTGCCGTAAAAGCGGATGGCAAAGGAACAATCAGAGATGTGATGAAGTATATGTGCGACAAAGGGCGTCTTAACCTCGGCTACAATCTGTTCTGGGAAAACTGCAAGGACTTGGCCAAGTGGATCTTTGACAATTTCAACTCAGAGGGAAAAACATTTAACCTCGTATTCACGAATTACTGAAGCTACCGAAACTTAGCAGACTGTCAGTGTCAGCAGATGACACTGTTACTGCTAACGAATGCTGTTATTCTCTTTTCGTTATTCTTTTTTTAGCGTTTCGGTTATAATTATATGGTTCGCCATCATTCTGCTCTCTGTTATGATATCCTTTTCCCTCCTGTTTCTATTATTCTCTCTTTTTTTCCTCAGTAGTCTTATCACAATCAGTTGTTTATTTTTGTTCTTCGTGATCAGTCTCACAATATACACTTGATCTCTATCTCTATATCCTTGTGAACCGCTCTCCCTCTTTTGAAATCCTATCCTGTCAGCATCATCATAATAATAAAAATAACATCAGATCGCCAGCTCTATCTTCATCCCGGTACTAGGGCAATTTGTCGCATATTTGGAACCGATAAGGAATTCTCTTACAGGACCGGACCGGCCGGCACAGAAAAATCTTTTACGGGTGAATATCAGTAGAAAGCTGGCGAAACATATGGCAAAAATGTATCAACGCGACTCTTGTTAAGGTATATTTTGAGACTTTCGATATCTCTTCATCTCTTCCAGGGTGAGTCTAGCTACCGTTATCATGATTTCATCCCTGCTAAAGGACTCTTCAGACGGCTTTAGTAGCGTATACACTTGTTCTGATGATCAGACAGAGTCGATCACAAACAAAGCATATACATAACCTATTCTCATTCGAAAAATTCACATGGGGTGAGTAGAAATAGGTCGTTCCACGACAAACGGATGTTTCTGTCTTGCCAAGATTTCATCAGGTGGTTTAGTTAATATTATATCAATAGTAATTCAAAGATAATAAGACAATAGAATTACTATATATGATACAATAATCAATGTTACTGTTGCACAAATAATTTTCAATAGAATGAACAGTGACTATAGTCAGTAAATAACTATACATGTCTATATCTAATTCTAGAAAATTAACGTATAAGCAAAGATTTATATCACAGGGTGAGTAGAAATAGGGTGTGGGGTGTGGAGTATTCATGAATATATTCAAACTGATACCATTCCCACACCCACACCCAGCCAAAATTCCAGCTTACCAGCATGATCCTCTCATGAGATTGATATATATAGACTGGTTCAAATATTCAGTTCAGGGCTCCTAAAGATGATCTTTGCTGCAAGCCATTTCTGAACGTTCCAGACCAATTTTGCCACGAAGTTATACATCTCAGATGACTCTTCCAACTTCTTAAGGTCACCCTCATACAACCTGGCTTATTGGGAGAAAACCTCGTCAGAAAATCACGATTTTCATCAAAAATTCATTTTTGAGAGAGTTCTGCTGATCGAAAAGAAAGGCATGCAAAGCTGTAATTTTCAGGAGATACACATCGCTATATACTCTGGCTCCAGTGAAAATTTCAGACATCTAGCACATTCCTATTACGAATTATGAAGCACCAAAGTTGCCCAAAATATGAATTTTCGCTCATATTGGATGAGTCATAGAAAATGAAGGACGCAATATTTTGACTTGAAATTTATATGGTGGCTATAACTCATAAAGATATATCTCCATAAAAAATTTCAGCTTCATTCATCATGCCGTTCTTGAGATATGGGCCTGTCAAGATCCTACTTGGCCGAAGTGCTGATTTTTAGTGCTTTTCGTAAAACTGGCATAAAAAATCAACAGTTCAATATTTTTCGAAACGGCTTGCGTCAAAGTTCATAAAACTCTTTCCTCTATAGGAATATCCTAACCTGAGCAAAATCTGAAGATCTCGTTTGAGCAACATTTCTATGCTGTAGGTCGTGGCTTACGTGGAATGGCTCATATATGACTTTAAAATTTATCTAAAGTCATAAGCTCTTAAATACATTAAAACTGTTTTTTCAGTATAGACTTTTTATTCGAATATAATTGACACATTTCGATGATATTAAAATAGTTTCAGTGTAACAGCTACATATCAAGCTTAGTATAGTTCGTCATGAACAATAAGTTTTTTCTAAACTAACTCAAAAAATAATCAAATATGTTGCCTAATATTTTTCGGCCATTGTATCTAAAAGAAACACGCAAAGACTTTTAAAAGACTTTCTGTTTCATGTACACATAATAGTCAACAATCTACACAGACAATCAATTCGATCTATATGTGTAAATCTTGTTTTAATCCTAATTTTTATTCTCATATATTATTAAATTTGCTTATTACCATTGAATGTGTGTTTTGCTTCTCATTTTTCATAATAAACAATGTTCCTATTTTGCATAAAGTCTCAATGAAAAAAATATGTTTAACCACCTTCAACTCTAAATTGTTTTGTTAGCAAAAATCTAGTTTTCTCTATACAAAACAAGTCGATCCTCGATGGATTATTAGTCATCGTTATCATAGTTTTCTGCATATGAGTTCAACTCATTAAAAGTATTTCTCATATAAGTACTTGAAATAATAAACGCTCGGGTGTAGCTGTGAATGTTAATCTTCTCTTTACTCATACCTGTATTCATACTCACACCGACTCACACCCACACCTTATCATAACTTATAAATAAAATTAATTATAAAATAAAACTAGTTTTTTTTTTACACTTTTTAAAAGAAATAAAATAGCTACAATAGGTTTATCATATTTTTATCGAAAATAAATCTTTTAATTAATTAATTTTTAATATAAATCAAGTAAAACAAAAAGTAAAAATTAAATTTATTGTAATTTATAGCAACATTTTTTTAATGAATTAATTATTTTTTGCAAATTAAATTGAACCCTAGAATGATTTTAAATTGTTTTAAAATGAGAAAAAAAATGCATCGAAGTATATTATTTGAGCAAAATAGAGTAATAAGATTAGATTCTATGTCGATTAAAACAAAAGTCATATATATATAACTTCATTGAAATACCATTATTTGATTGTCATCTTTAATTCAAAGCTTGTTTCATAATACAAATTTCTTTAATTCTTTTAAAACAATAATAAAAATACAGTATATTATATTTCTATTGTCTCATCTGAGAATACAAAAATAATCAGAATTATTTCCAATTGAACTTACTTTTTTTTCTCCGAATAAAAAAGAAATAAATCTTATAGAATTTAGGTAAAAATAAATTGAGAAATATATCTAAAAAAATCAATTTCAAAAACAATAATTATATATATCTTACTAAATTTCGAGTTATTCAAAGAAAAGTCGAGATACTTTTGAGTTATTTTATGTAAAAACTTAGCATAAAAAAAATATTCATTTGGGGAAAAATTGGGTTGGTTTCTTTATGAAAAAACATTAATAAAAAAAATCTAACGCTTTTCCTTTCTTTATATTATCTTTACAGTTTGCGTTTGGTTTGTATACCACACAAGTACTGAGTAGTCAATTGTGCCGTACGTATACCAAAGTCGTACCGTTCGATATGAGAATTTTTTTATTTCATGGCTTTCTTCAACATAGAAAATGTACGCCCTCTTTCCTTGTCTAACGATTTATTTTTATTAAGTGAACGAGTTGAGCCAATTAGAATGGTTTTTTCCTCTCATTGTGATGACCAGTAACACACAAAGATGTTGTCGACCTCAAGAAGTACTATTAATTCGTTCTCTTTTGTCCGTTTGCATAGTCCAATATAAACGTTATTCTTCATTCTTCTATGTGTATATAAAGCGAAAAAATTAGTACACACACAAACAATTACACTTTATTACAAACATTCACATATCTATTTCATTTGACAGTCATATATTGTACTTCACGCATTGAGATGGCAACATCTAAAAAGACAAATGATCCAATTGTTCAAGTAAGAATTATTCTTAATTCTATTACCTAAATATAATTTTCTTTTTTTCTAAGGGTTTATCTAAATTAATTGATGATGTATTAACAGATGAAAATGAAAAAATTAAATATATACACAAACGTATTTACATAAATTATGAGAAAGAAAAATGGATTAGTAAGTTTTTATTATTTCTTTTCAATTTAGTTTGTTTTTCATTTCAGATGTCATTGAAGATGTTAATTTGGGAGACCAGAATTTCGGCTCACGGAATTTTCGGCCCGGACATTCGGCCCATGACCTCATTGACCCTAAAATAAAAAACCTAATTTTTTAAAATTAGTTGCTAGACATCGTAGTGCTGAGCAGAACCCCGTAGTGCTCAGCAACATGACGTAGCGCTGAGGAGGACGCCATAGTGCTCAGTGATGTGATGTAGCGCTGAGCAGGACGCCATAGTGCTGAGCGGTATGGTATAGTGCTGAACAGAACGTCATAGCGCTGAATGGTATGGTGCAGTGCTGAGCAGGACGTCATAATCTTCAGCATTATGGCGTAGGTGTGGGTGTGAGTGGAGTGTGGGGTAGTGTGGATGTTGAAGGAAGAGACATCCACACCCCATACCCTCTGCTCAGCACTACGTCATATTACTCAGCACCATGCCATACCGCTCAGCACTACGACATATCGGTGAGCACTATGACATCCTGCTGAGCACTACGTCATACTGCTTAGCGCTACGTCATATCACTGAGCACTATGACGTCCTGCTCAGCACTACAATGTCTAGCAACTAATTTTAAAAAATTAGGTTTTTTATTTTAGGGTGAATGAGGTCATGGGCCGAAATTCCTGGTGGACTTTCGGCCCGGCCCGAAAAATCACCGGAATTTCGGACCGGGCCGAAAATTCCGTGGGCCGAAATTCATGGAACCCGGTAATTTATATAAAAGAATGATGAAGTCCAAAAAACTTGAAATATTAAAAATGTAAGTTATATTTGAATGTTTTTATATAAACAATATTTCTCTTTTAGTAAAAGTGAATTTCAACAATTTTGCCATAAATCTCGAATGGCATTAATCGAAATAGCAGATGATAGTGGTATGTGTTCAAATATGTTTGTTTATTATATTTGCTATTTTATTTATAGATATCGATGATGATGAACGTGAACGTTTTTCTTTTACTTTAAGTGCAAAAAATGCTGACGCTTTCATTAATGGTCAATATTCCAACAAAAAGAAAGAAAAACATCACTTGAAGTCAAATGATTCATATGTGAATAATTGATGGTTATCAAGGTCAATGTTTTGTTATTATGGTGATGTTCTTTATGCTTTAAACGGTAAAATACATCAATCGTTTTATTACATTTAAACATCGGTTTTTTTTTGATTTCATTGATGTATGTTTTTTTTTCTGTTGTTTTCATTGATTTCATTGATACATAACATTTTGATGATTTCATTGATGTACTATTTTTTTGTCTTCATTGATATTTTTTTCTGTTGTCTTGATTGATATATTATTATTTTGTTGTCTTGATTGATGTATTATTTTTTTGTTGTCTTCATTCATTAGTTTTTTTTGTGGTTTGATAATGATATGATAGTATGATTTTGTTCTTTAAAAAAGACAACAATATGAAGCAATAAACTTTCAAGATATAATATTTTTAGCCTAATCTTTAAAACAAAACAATCAATGTTGACTGAAAAATCTAATGTATAAATAGTTACACGGTGTATTCTAAATAGTTGAAAAGAATGAGACTCGATAAAATGAGATATAACTGAAGAACGTCCTTTCCACAATTGCCGGAAATGCATATTTTTTTTTTATAGTTACAAATTGTTCTAAAATCGAAATAGATTGACAAATAGATCATTCGATACATTATCCATTATAGTCTTTAAACAATAAACTTAACTTATTTGAACTAATAAAATATTTTCAAAGGTTTACGTTGTGCAAGTTCATCAAAGAATAACGAAAGATGAACCGTTTATATCTATCTATATGGTTATATAAAGAGAAAAGTTCGTTTGTCTGTTTGTTCTTCATGCATTTGGACACGGTACGAGCAAATGTAACGAAACTTTCCAGAAACCATCCTCTCATCCAAAGAAATGTCAACGTCTACTTTTTGTCGAAAAAAAAAAGAAACCGGTCCTCCGCCTGCAAAAGGCCCGCTTCTGTATCTGATCAATGAGATTGCAGCATTCTGTAGTATCGGAGAACTACTGAGTAGCACGTTGTGAACAAGCACAAGACATATACCGAGGAATTTTCGAGGGTACTGAGTTCGAATCTGCGGTCCATTTACCTCGAAATCTGATTGGTTGTTCGGAAACCAATAGAAATTCAGCTTCTAAGAAAACAGACAAAAACACTTATACTTTCGGGAAAATGATGGGGCAGGGGTTTTTCGACGTGACAAATTCGAAGCCGGGGTCCGTTCACCTCGATAACTTAGTTATTAGTCCCCGAACCAACAGTCCTTAAGTTTTCGAGTAAACGAATATCATTGAACGAGGACAAGCAGGATATCAGGAATCGGAAATCTGGCGAGCACAAAACCTTACTGGACGATCCCGTGGCTTCATTGGGTGAGCCATGTCAAATACACATAGAGTTCTAGAGAAACTGACTCTTTGGAGATTATCTGCGGTGGGAATTTCGAATAAGTGGTGTGTTAGGCTCAAGATTTTGTTCTTCATAGATTTTAATGATTAAATTCTTAACTGAACTTCTGCACGAAGATCTTTTTATCTGTCTTTCTTTGCAACCAATCAAGATTCAGTGTGTTTTCAGCAGTGCAAAACACGATGTACTGTCGTAACTCTCAAAATCAATAGATATTGTAAAACTGAAGTTCTAGACCAAGTAGATGTGTGGTCGTGTTGGGTTTTGATAGAAACGGAGTTTCCTTGCATGTTTGTCGGAAAATCGATTTTCCAAATTGGTTTCCTCTAAATATAGAAGCAGACAACTACGGGATCGGGACTGAAACTCTGACCAGATAAGACAAAAACCGGTCGGGATCGGAACTTATTGAGATAAGTATGTGCTCCGAGACGCACTTGGAAATATAGAATGTCTATAAAATTGATATGAGCTACCAAGTTTTTCTCGATGTACACATATAACGATGAAGGATTCCTCAGCTCGGAGCAGTCTTTCAATGTTATTATTCTATATTCTTTGAGGGTGGGATCAGATGAGATCGAGACTCAGAATACGCCTGAGGATTTAGATCAAAATTGGCACGGGGGCAAAAATAGTAGTTGTGTATATCTACTTCCTACCAATTATACTTTTCAGATTTTCTCAAGCACAATTAGTTATTGTTTGCATATATTAAGTGTGAACTTTTCCGGGCAACGCCGGGTACTTCTGCTAGTTAGTTTTATATTAAGTATTGACAAATTATGTAACGTTTAATATTGATCAACAACTATTGAAAGATACCATTGAATTCGTTAATATTAATAATTAACGAGTCACATAACCATTTATAGTATGTTTAAATTTTTTTCCTACTCACCCACAGCTACATTTACCCTAATTCATTGGATAAACAAAGTTAATTGTTCTATGGATATAACATGAAAAATTTATGCACGAATGCTTAAAAATGTAACTTATAAAAAATTACTAACATTTGTGATGTTACCGGTATCTTTTAGATTTAATTTATCAAAATAAATAAATAAATAAATAAATATATGTATAATAAAAATTTTAATCGTATTAAAAGCAAAAGTTTGTTTTTCTTTGATATGGTTTTGCTGTTAGTAATAGATGAGACTTATGAATAATTCAAATTTCGAAAAATATTTTGAAGTATACATATAAAGTAGAATGAGTTTTAATGACATAGGTAAGAAACAAAAAATGCAGAATTTCAGGTAATGTGTATTGTAAAGGAAAGCATTTAAGCTGCATTAGTACAATGACCAAATCATTCGTCTCGAATCTCACTGGTCAAATTCTGAGTCGTGCTATTCTCACTGATATAGCTAAAGAAGACGAAGTCTTTTCAATATTATGAAATGACTAATGAAGAAAATAATTGTAAATAGTTTTAAAGATATCTCGTAAGATGTTTTCTATTGTTTTATTTATTGGCAATCCAAAATAATTTTTAGAAATCAGAAATTTCAAGTTGATGACACATTCTACTAAGCAAATACAGAAAGCTCAGGACCAAGGATGCAATAATGATGGTAATCTTATATTCATCTCGACTTTTTCGATCTAAGGAAGTTCATACAAACTTCCATATATTCGGATTCCTGAACTCCGAAAACGACGTGAAGTCTCTTGTTTTAAAACTCAGCTATTTTCTTGCAATAGTTTCTCTGATAAAAAAAAACGAAATTAATTCAAGACTATCGTAGCTTTATCATACATTCACTATTAACGTTGCATCCCATGTTAAGTAATTATTTTTTTTCATAGCATAACATTTTAGGATGATTCTCATAGTAAATAAAAATTGGTTTGAGAAAATAAGAAACAATATAAATCTGTGTTTCTTTTTGTCTTCCTAGGATTTTGTATGATTATTAATGCCTCATTGTCTTATCTTTGGTATTAATATTCCATCCTTATGGTGTGCATTAACAGACGCATTAATTAAAAAAAATTTAATAATCTATGTTTTTCTTTTCCAACACAACGATTAATATCAAATGAAATAAATCTAAATGATGTTGAAACAACAGCTGATAGAATTAGTATAAAAATTCTTTTATCATGTTCTAAAATTCAACTATATTTAATTGCATTAATACATTCCATATCAATTTATTTTGATACAGGACAATATAATGTTGAATTAACATGTCAAGTTTCAACAGGTGACATACGTGATTTATTACATTTTATAATATTTATATTGAAAGTCATTTATATAAATACATTTCAAAAACTATCTTTTCTTAGTTGGAATTAAATTGAAAATATTTTTTGTCTATCATGTTGTACATGATCAAAAACTATATTGTTCACATTTGAATATCTTTATTAACGATATGGTTTAACTGTATCAAAAAAAAAAGAAAAATCAACTATTACAATGATACTTAAAGTTAATTGAACCAGATAATCGATCATTTACACAATTATTATTCATATCATTTAGTGATATTGATCGTCTTTATTATTTAACAAAAAAAATTAAATATGTACCATATTTTTATCGATGTGACTTACCTAGGATAACTATATCATTATTTTGTTTACAACTATTTAATTCCTTTATTCGTATACCAAGACAATTTGGAGAGCAACATTATCAAGATATAAATAAATTATTATTTGGTTTAAATCATTATTGCTTATCGTCATTTTCTGTTTATTTATTATAACGTTCGGATATAATGACTAATTATGTTGAGCATATATCATTTGTTGGTTGGTTATCAAGAATACAATTTCAAGAAATATACGTTTCATTTTTAGCTTGAATTAAATCACCAAATCAATCTAGTGATGAAAGTGAACAACCAACAAATAATTTAGCGACAGAAGAAATTTTAGAAACAAATGTAACACAATGGTAAAAGGATTTAAAAAAAACTAGATTTTATCTGTTCTTTTTTTCTTTGTAGAGTGTGTGAATTCGTGTTGTAACAACATTTTTATTAAATGTACTTCGATTAAATTGTACAGGAAATCCAGTTGATATGACATTTGACATCAATGTTGAAATAAATCTATTTCATTTTTATTAACAGGTATTGGTGGACAACATTTGTTCGATCGTTTATTTTCTCTTCATGGTCTTGATTTAATATCATCATTACAAATTCTAATTGAACTAAATGTTCGTTAGTTAATAACAAATTCAAATAATTTATTTATTCAATTAAAATATGAATTAATAAGTTCATTTATGTATCTTTCTTATTTATTTATATCATCGGCACAAGTGTTAAATTTATATGATGAATATTTTTGTACATGGTTTGATGAAGATGATTTAATGATATCATTAATAATTTATGGTTCACGTAAATCTGATATATTACTTGGACAAACAACGAAAGAATATAATGAATTATATACACGTTTAATTGAACGTAAGTTTAAATTAATAGCTAAAACTCACACATATGCATCATGTTGATTTGAGGTGGTGGGTGTGGGTGTTGCTGAGAAGAGAGGATCTACACTCACACCCACACCCCACAATGGGAAATTATGGTAGACAAAAAAAAAATGATTTTCAAAGATCATCAATTTAGAACAAATCACGGTTACGATTTAGACATATTGCTTAGCCCCTATTATATGAAAAAAATATTTTATTTAAAATTGTGTCATATTAACAGTTCATCGAGGACATGTTGGCATTTTTACAATATTACCAATGACTGCGAGCTCATCCCTATTTGCATTTGAATTAACTTGTGGAAAGTTTAATTCATTATCAAATGTCAAAAATGTATCGTGATGAGGCAGATGAGATGATGATGATCGAATTATTTTTGATGACTTACGTCTCTGTTCATCATTTTCTACTTCACCATTTGAAATTGTGTGAATAGTACTTTCACATTCAGCCATCTTCTTATAACCTTCTCTAGTTGCATCTAATTCTCCAATGACATCGTCCACAGATAATTTTCGGAAGTGGCTATGTGCACTGAGGTAGGTATTATCAAAAAATTACTAAATATTGAGTTATATTATAGCCATATATGTTCTTTATAATTATTATAATTAAAATTTATCAATTGATTAACAATCTGACTCTATTTAGTCTTTATTAAATTCAAATAAAATACAAAGCAAGTATTACAATCAAAATAATATAAAAGAGAAAGTTAATTCAAGTAAAAATCGACTGATTTACAAATATTTCTAGCACATACTCTCTTAAATTTTTCAAGGAAATAGTTGTATTTTCATTATTTTCAATATAACTAACATTAATCATATAAAAATATCTTTTTATAAAACAATAATGATAAAATTTTCTTTTACATTCGCTTCTGATTGTATCTCTAATTTTGACAGCTATTTTTTCTCATCTTGAAAGAATCTCAGTTTATAATCTTGTTTTAATACTTATTCTTTAGTGAGGATTAATCAATGGGTCTTAAAAAAAGTATATCTCGTTCCAGATTAAAAGCTAATTGGAATTTTATGTTTTTCAATTTCCCATTTTGTAAGCTAATTAATCAAGAAAACGTAGAATCTTTCGTTCTATAAATTATCAATAGAGAAAGAAGGCACAATTAATAGAGAACAAAAACACTGGCATCGATATAGTTTCCGTCCGATGTATTGAAAATAATAAAATGCAACCATTTCGTTCAAAATCTAAGAGATCAAGCGCTAGAAATATTTCTGAATGAGTTGATTTTTATTTGAATTAACTTTTCTTTTATATTTGTTTGATATTAATACTTATTTTATACTCTATTTGAATTTAACAACAAATAAATAGAGTAAAATTATTAATAAATTAATAAATTTTACTCATGTTAATTATGAAGTACATATATGGCTATAATATATCTCAATATTTAGTAACTAGTTGAGAATACCTACTTGAGTGCACATAGCCACTTCCCTAATTAAAATATGAAAAGAAACATTTTAAAAATGAAAAATTGTTCACTTGAAATAGTTGTTTTTATTAGCTTAAATGAAATAAGCGAAGGAAGTTCGATCTTCACAATGAGCGCCATGCTTCTTACATATAGCTTCAAATTTTAATGACAATTTCACTCTAAAAAGTATTAAAATTAAATACATTCTATGTCAACGATGAAACTCATAGATGAAAAAAAAAGTTTACGAATTTTAATCGACTCTATATCAGAAAAAGGTTATTGCCGATGATGAAACAGACTACAAGTTACATACTTCAAATTCATTGATTCAAAGAATATTTTAACCAAGGAGGTGTAATTTAAAATGTTATTGAATCAAAGTTATAGTATTCAAATGTTGAACATGTCCATTATGAACAATGATTTCAATTCAATCAATTTTTATGAACATTTCATCATTGTAATCCATTATTGAAAAAAAATGCAGTTATTCTGCAAAATAAACATTTCTTGTTTAATTTCAAATAGTCATTCTATACTATGAATACGGTATGAGAAAATCTGCATGTAAGCATTAACTTTTTAAGAATGTTTTATTAAAACTGCTTACTCAAAGGAGAAGCAATAATCAAGAACGTTTAGTTTTGCTATACTTGTTTATTAGATTGAGTTATATTTGTTGACACAATAAATATTAGATTTCATGTATTTTTCAGTAAAATCCATTAACTAGATTATTTTAATAAGACCATTATTTTGAACTGCAAGAATCTTTCACTTAACTCAGACATCGAAAACCGAAATAATCTGACTATTCCAAAGTTGACTCACCAATAGATTATTCATCGGTATTAGTTTTATTGTTAAGAGCCGTTTTTACTTGAGCTACAAGTGATAACTTCGGCTTTTCAGAATAAATACTGGTAGTAGTTGGTGGTGGCGCACGTTTATTCCATGTTTCTTCAGCTAATAGTTTCTTAGCTCGTACACTTCTGTTTCGTGTTAAATTAAATAAGTAATGATTGGAATAATTTATTTCAGTTTGTCGAATATTGGAACCGAGTGTTTTAACAACTTGATCAACTCGTGACGATACCTCACCACGAAGAATAGTGTGCTTTATTACTTTTAGTCGAGATTCAGAAATTCCAGTAGTTCTATTGGTATGACTATCACAATGCTCAATCGTTTTGGTAGCTCGATAACCATAACGTTCTAAATTTCCCATCATTAAATTACTTCAAATTGGTGCCGTAGGTAAGTGTAGAGAGAGAGAATACGTTTTAAATAAGAGAGATTTTACTATGAATTTTCCGTGTATTTCTGAAAGTTTTCGTCCATAAACATCGCACAAGTTTTCGTTTGATCATCATATATCTTGCTAAAACAATCGCGAAAAAGTACTTTCACTTGCATCTGTAGCATTTTGTTGACTAACACTATTTTCAATTTCATCTGCTTCAAGATCTGTTTCATTAAGAGTCTAAATAAATAAAAATGAGTTGCCTTTCTCTTAATCCTGGTATCCCAATAAATTCTACATATTCATCGAATTCTCAAAGCAATAATCATATACCGTTTTTATTCTTTAATAAATAATGTCCCAGAGACAAGTTCATTTTTTTTACATTTAGAAGAACTAAGAATTTTCTAATCATACCTGATCTAATGCTGTTGAATAGCGACATTCATCTTGTGCATAAACTTGAACGTTTCTAATAATAAAATTATTTTTGTTCAGATTCTTGTTAATGTTATCGGCTGCACAAGACACACACGAAATAGATATCGAAAATGACGCATTTTGTGTTGGACTAAGAAGAGCCACACATATGTTCCTAACTATCACTCATTTCTTCCATTGTATTCGAATTTACTAATAATGATATGAACCACAGAGCAAACGCTACCTAAAAGCATTTAAAGTGAATATTACATATAAATCGATAGATGCTTACTTTCTTCTTTGTGCAATATTTAAGTGTTTGACACTTTTACTAAAGTGTGCCAAACATGAATGAACTATGATTTTTCGTAGATCTTCATTTGTAGTCGATTTGTTTACAATAGACTAACAGTGTTTTAAATAAATGCTGAGTGAAGTATCACCATTAAAAAACTACATAGCAGTCATATGAAATACTAACGCTCCATCGCAAAGAACAATTGGTGGCTTTGGAAACGAAGCTTTAAATCCGAATAACTTTCTATATGCTGCTTCAAATTCTTGTAACCATCGAACAAGGTCCATGGTTGTATGCGTAGTCAATAACATTGAAGTGACAGGAAAAGAATGTCCTGATAAACTTTTTGTCGTGACTGATCGAGTGGCAATATCAGCAATTGTTAATTTGTAGTAAAATAGTCGTTTTCCTTTGCTCATGACAATGCCTCCTGTAGCTCTCCCATGAGACAGGTACATTATTTGCTACTTTATTCCATGATCCTGTTTTGTTACATTTTTTTGTTATCAGTAAGATTTTACATATATCTTAATTATCGAAGAATCATTATGATTGTTAGATATAACTTTTTTTCTTTATTGAAAATAATGAAGAGAAATTTAACATACGTTTAGATGTAAAAGAAAAAAAAATATCTGACATAAGTTTGATAAAGTAGAAAGACTAGATAAGTATAATTGATCACATCTGAGAACATGCGAAAGCGACCATAAGCTCACGAGAAAAAGAAGAACACTATACAAAATAAATAAATTTATAATATATGAGACAGTCAAAATAATATAGTTCCATTTTAATCAAATGGCATTTCATCTTCTGATGGTAAATTTGACCAATCAATTTCAGCAAGACCAGCAGCTTTAAGATAAGCATTTGTTTTAGAAAAATGCTAGAAAATCAATAAGATTAAATTCTTAATACACAAAAAAAACCATGATTTAAATACCTTGCAACCCATAAATCCATTATGAGCCGACAATGGTGATGGATGAGCAGTTGTTAGAACATGATGACGATTCTAAATATATTAAACATAAAAAATATTTCTATCAAAATGAATTATATTCAAAATTACTTTATTAATTCGTGCACCTTTATTTTGAGCATCTCTACCCCAGAGTAAGAAAACAATATTGGCTGAACGATCATTAAGATATTGAATAATAGCATCCTTACACAAAAAAGAAATTAAAAATCTTTTTTTCTGAAAAAATTTTCTTACTGTAAATTTTTCCCATCCTTTTCCTTTATGTGAATTAGCTTTATTTCTTTCAACAGTTAAACAAGCATTGAGTAATAAAACACCTTGTCTTGCCCAACCAGATAATGTACCATGATTTGGAATAACAAAATTTGGTATATCAGCTTTTAATTCTTTATACATATTTAGTAAACTTAAAAAAGAAAATAAATAAATAAATTCGCCTGAAAGATTTTTGTTTTTTTGTTCAATAAAAACCTTGGTGGTGGTGGAACATTTTTTCGTACTGAAAAACATAGACCATGTGCTTGATTTGGTCCATGATATGGATCTTGTCCAAGAATAACAACTTTAACTTCACTCAATTCACACATTCGTGTAAATGTAAAAACATGATGTGGTGGTGGATAAATTGTAACACCTTTTTCTCGTTCATCAGCAATAAAATTTGCTAACTAATCAAAAAGAAAAGAAAAACATTGTGTTAGTTTTTCTTTTCATATGCATAATTGTAAAAAAATCATGTACCTTTTGAAAATATTCTTTAGAAAATTCTTTTTCAAATGCTTTATACCATGATACACCCATATCAACAACAAGACCACGTGTTGCTTTAGCTTCAAGTTTCATCTTTGCTAAAATACGATTATTTTCTGCACGTTCAACTGAACGTTTTTCTTCTTCAGTTTTTGGTACATTTGGTGAATTAACATTGGAATTTGGTTGAGATATTCGTAAAGGTGATGCTACTGGTGTATTTGATGCTGTTTTAATTCGTTTTGGTGTAGTAGCAACAGGCTGGAAAAAAAGAAGAAGAAAAAGAGATAACCAATCATTATTATTTTTTTGTAAAGTGAAGATAAAGAAGTTTTGAAATGTAGCATTTTTTTTCTTAAAGATAATAGCTACAAAAAAAATCACAGAAAAGATTTGAGTAGCTAATACAGTTTTCTATTAAAACAGGTTAGTTTAGTTGTTGTGATTAGGAAAGAAAGTTCAAAAATATTTCATAGCTGAACATCTTAACGATTGTTCACACCTAAACATGAATGAAACCTTGAATCTAGTAGTATTTGATCGTCTTAAAGATTCAAAATTTTGGCAGTACGTCTATTGTGATCTGAAATCGTTAACTAAGGAACATATATATCTGTCGGACGTCATTCGACTTTGTATTATGTTTGCGAGTAGGTCTCGGTGAGACTGCGAAGAGTTTAAAAGGATTCGAGTTTACGATCTAGTGATAAAGACTTATGAAATTTTTATTGAACCTACGGCATTTCAGATAAACTAAAACTAAAGAGTTTCGAACTGAAATTTTACCTATGAGTACGTTTAATAGTCCTGAAAGTTTCAATGAAACCAAACGTATTTTTCTCGGGATATTTCTTTTCTTAATAGACTTAATTACTGTATTCCCCGATGGTACATCGTTGCTTTCTTGGATATTGAATATGAAGACAATGACTATCGAACGTACCTATAACCGAAATATCATTGGATTATGAACACCAATCTGTTGAAGTTTTTCAGTCTTACAGAGACCGAATGGCGTCTGATACTAGGCTATGTTTTCTGGTAAGCTAAAGACTGAACATCAGTTACCAAAGATCCATGAGGTTGTTCCGAGCTTTAGCACATATCCATAAAACGTTGTGACATATCCCATAAGTCAATGCAGACTGGAAGAAACGTGTACATATCTGAATCCCATTACAAGTTCTTCAATACCATCTCGAACAAAAAAAAACTGAAATTTTCAATTGATTGTTGTATATTGTTCAGGACAAAATGATTATAATTGAACAGTTAATTTCTTTAAGATTGATATATTTACCTCCTTTACATCTTCATTTTCATCTACATCCGATATTTCACGTTTTTTTTTAAAGAAAAATGTAATTGATTTTTGTTGAGCCATTCTTCTTTATCTATCTAGAAGAAATGATCATAAAAAAAAACAACATTTTTCTTTTTGTCTTTCGTAAAAAGTGTTTTTTTTTTCTTTATTTATTCCGAAAAACATAACAATAAACAATACAAAACAAAGACTATCGTCGATCTGTTTTGCCAGTTGATCGTTTGCCGGAAACTGTAAAAACAAAACAAACATCAAAATTATTAATTATACAAGATTTTTAACTTACATAAATGTTTGGGTTTTTTAACAAATATTCTTCTATCAGATTCTCCAGTTTTAGCACCCAAATTCATTTTACGTTGACTAACTTTATTGATTTTTCTTGCTTTCTTAGCCATTGTTACATCCCGTACACCAGATTGATCACGAGGTACTTTTGAACTACTACGTACATTACCTTCCGAATCTTCACGTTTACGTTTTACTTCAGGTCGATTCAATGAACGGCTACGTGTTTCATGCATTTTAGCAACATAATGTGACTAAAAAAAAAGATTCAATCAACTTAATAAGTCTATTTCTGCAGGAGATAGGCTGACTCTTCCTCCAAAAATTGGCAGTTACTTTCGTACTATGAATAAATAATTCATGTATTATAGAAGGATGAACTACGTAAGTTTTCCCGTACAAGGACATTTTCTACTGAAAACTATGCTGAACAACAACTCACAATAGAAAGCATGTTATGAGCTTGTGAAATGTCATTAGAAGACAAAATACCAAATAGGTAAATAATAAAAATTATGTTTTGCTTGAACCCTAAAGACAGCCAATACACTATCTCTAGGTAATAAAAAGCTTTTGAGTTCAAATTTTGCCCACAACTAGCAATGATTTATCGAGTAGATGGGCTGGATGGGCAGTGCTCACCCAAAATTTTGATTCACTTACTCGAGAAACGAAATCCAGATAAAGCACTAACAACAAGAGGATGCATAGATTAGAAAGAGCCTAAAAGGATATGAGCCCAAATTGTGATTTAACTGAGATATCGACTATTTAGAATAATTTTCCTATAGAATCCTATTTTTCCAATAAAATTAAAGTTACGAGTTTAGACCTGAAACTTGGCCCATACCAAGGCTTCAATCAGACAAGCTTGCTTACAAAATTTCAGAATTTCTGGATAGACTATCTTTGAGATACTGATAAGTTAGCATAAAGACACTTTTTTATGGATATTTTGGAGAATCCATAGTTTGTTCAAAAAATTCTGAAACTTTCTAGGCAAGTTTGTCTGATTGAGGCCTTGGTATGGGCAAAGTTTCAGATCTAAACTTGTAACTTTAACTTTATCGGAAAAATAGGATTCTATAGGAAAATTATAGTAAATGGTCGTTATCGCAACTTGGGCTCATATTCTTTTAGGCTTTTTCTAATCTATACAATCCTCTACTTGTGGACAAAATTTGAACTCAAAAGCTTTTTATCATTTGGAGAGGTTTTCTCGTTCGAGAAGTTCAGAAAATAACTAATAATATATTCAAGGATAAGAAACGTTAGATATAAGTATAAATTACGAATGTTTAATGAACTTTTCTCTAGTTAAAAGCAAAACAACAGACTTCTTACTACGAAAGTATTAGGAGGTAATTTATAATTGGAGAAAAACTGAGAATGACTATGATGTTCTCTCTTCCGTTATTTAACTAGACAAGAAGAAAATATATTTCTTACATCTTCTTTATTATCCATATCAATTCCTAATTCATCCATTGTATTTTCTAAATGTTCACGAGCAACAGTACGTTTTGGTCTTGGTACAGATGGTGTTCTTCGAGCTTGTTTTTTTGATCGTGCTTCACCAATAATAACTTGACGTTTATAACGAATTTTTTTAGCTAATTTTCTTATAGCTGTTGTTTCTTCATCATCTTCACTTTCATCAATATCATAAAATCCAGCTTCATCACGTGCTTCTTCTTCACGTTCTAATTCTTCTAATTTTGTCATTATATCTGGATCAATAAAATCGGCAACATTTTTATTACGATAAATTTCAGGTAAAACATCATAACATTCATCATTATTTTCTAATGACCATGTTTTACGTAAATCTAAATGATAATCTTCTTCTAATTCAATTTCTAAATCACGTTCAGTTTTCTTTTTTCTTGGTTCAGATTGATCATTATTAGCTACTTGCATTGATTCTAAACGTTGAATAACACCTTCAGGTATATATGGTGCACGTATACGTTCATCACGTTTTTGTGGTTGTGCTACATGTAAACGATTAAGTACATCATTTACTTTACGACTTTTTAATTTGATATCAACACGATGTGCTAATAAACGATCGCAAGCCTGTAGAAAAAAAATAAAAAAAAAAAAAAAAATTTCTTAATCATTATTTTTTTTTGTGTTTAAGATAAATTACTTCATTTCGAACTTCGATAACACCTTCTTCTGAAAATGTACTCATTTCTATAATTCGAATATCATCTTTACGAAATTGTTCGAATACAGCCTGAATAGATAGAATATTTGATTAAGAAAGAAATTAATGAATAAAAAAAAAAAAATTTACTTTTTTCTCTTCAGATAATTCATCAAGTCGTTTAATATCGATTTTATTAAGAACAATTAATAATGGTTTATTTGTAAATAATACTTTGATATTGTTAAATAAATTGAGCTAAAAAACGTAGAAAACAATAAGCATTTGAATTATTATTTTTTTTTTTTAATTAACATGAATAAGTTATTGGAATCTTAAATTGAGATTCATTTATCATTATGAAAAACTTTATTTTTATTTAGACTAGACAATTTGATTATCCGTTTTTGTGCAAACACATCTTTCTAACCATTTTTCATTTCTGTTTACATCAATTCGAATAATCAAATGCAAAGGAGCTTTCCATACAGGACATCCATAAACTGAAGGAGATACATTCGAATGTTCATCATGATTTTTTTTTGTTACATCTTTAATGAAGTTTCTAACCTAAGTTGGCTTATTCAGATCATAGCAAAGACAACACCAACTAGACATGAGTGAGATCAGCCGGTTTTGGTTCCAACAAGAGGCGCAACTCAGTACTGAAGGCGCAGAGATGTACAATCCCAAGAAAAAAAGGAACGTTATGTGGTTAGGAATGTGTCGAGACTAGGAGATTTTTATTGAGAACTGCTTAGCTTGATTTTATCTTGCAGAAAATACAACCGGATAGACAGATCATGAAAGTAAAAGACCAAGTCTCAGTCAAATAAATGAAAGAAGGAAAATTTTGGCCGAAACTTGGCCTTTTACTTTCATGGCCCGTCTATCCGGTTGTATCTTCTTCAAGATGAAAGCAAGCTAAGCAAATCTCATAGTCTCGATACATCCCTATATGTGGTAATTCTCAAAAATCAGGAAACGTTGTGTGAACGACTTTTAGAAGTAAGAGAGTGTCATACTCGACAATCCACCGTTGACCGCAACCATTTTGTTCTTATCTAACTATAACAGTGACCTTAACTACAACATTTTTTTGTCGTAATGAAAATTTTCTTCAAGTATGTTCCTATAACATATATTGTTTTGTACCTATTATTCTTTTTGCAGAGATAGATCAAACTGTCTCGCACTCTACATATCTCTCTTTTCTTGCTCGATGAATAGATTTTGAAAGCACAAAATGCATCCCATAAAGATTTGCGCAACGTATCGGATACTGCCTCATGCATCTTTGCCTATTTGTCATCAATAATTGAGATTTCTTTTATGAATAATTTCAATGATTCAATTATATATCAAAATTGATCTTATTCAATTCTCATTTTAATATGAAATTTAAATTAACATACTTGTTCTTCAAGTGTATAACCACATGTTTCTGAAATATCCATAACATAAAGAATAGCTGCACGAAGATGTGCTAATGCAGTAATAGCTTGCATTTCAATTGTATTTCGATCCTCTATGAAAAAACATTCAAATATATAAATTCATTTTTTTTTTATAAAATAAAAATATTCTACCTAATGAATGATCAAGAATACCAGGTGTATCAACAACTTGCCAACGTAAATATTTATAATCCGTATGACCAACATAAAGTGATTTTGTTGTAAATGCATACGGTTGTACTTCAACATCAGCACGTGTTATTTTATTTAAAAAACTTGATTTACCAACATTTGGATAACCACATATTAAAAGTGTACGTGTATTTGGATCAATAGATGGTAAACGTGATAAATGTTGACGAACTTGTTCAAGATATTGTAAACTTTGTGATTGACGTTTAATAATTGTTGCCATTCTAATAAAAAAAGAAAAACGAAACAATGAATTTCTTTATTTCAGAGAAATAAATTCGATGAATTAACCTTCCTAATGCTGCTCGTTTTAAACATTTACATCGATAGAGTGAATCAGCAAATTTCATCATTCGTCCATAATCTTTTGCCACACTAATTAGAAAAAAAATATGTAAAATATATATTTCGAGAAATTTTTTTATTCTTACTTATCAATTAAATTTTTAGCAATATTTAATTGACCAAGAGCTAATTTATAATGATTTTTGTCATATAAAACATTCATTAAATCAGCATAAAATGGATGAACTTCCTATGAAAAAAAAAAGGAAATTTTGTTTGATAATCCAAATAAAAAAAAAAAAACAATAAATCAATAATTTACTTCAAGTTTAGGAAATTCAGTAAGAATAAGTTGAAGTTTATCATGAAAACTTTGTTGAGTAAATTTTATTTTTCGTAAATAAAAATTACGAATTCGAGCGATTTTATATTGTTTATGAACAACAGTTGGTGTTTTACGTTGAGTTTTCGAAAGGATAATATCAATGAAATCCTAAGTTTAATAATAATAATGAAAAAAACAAAACAAAACAAAACAATTAAGTTTTTTTTTTTGATAAAGGTCAAAGAGCGTACTTGAGCTGTAGGAATTGTAACTATTTTCTTAAAATTATACTGCGATGATGCCATTTTGCAGTAAATTATATGAGATGATGATTTTAATCTAGAGACAAAGAAAATTTATATACATATGTGTTCGAATAAACTCGATAACGTGCAAAAAATTATTAGGTAATTCCGATGTTAAACTAACTTAACTGACTAAGAAATGAAATGTACTGAATGGTTCATTGTTTCGAAAGGTTTTAAACAGCATAATACATATTAATAAATATTAAATTTTCATTTGATTAAAATATATAAATAGTCTCGAATAAATTTTCATGAGATTTCGAAAAAAAAATATTCAATATTAATTATAGATGGCGCTAATTTATGAATAAATGACTATTTTTAATTTAAATTATGATTATATTTCATATTTCAACTTTTGAAAATAAATAATAAAAAACAAAAAAAAATTAGATTTTCTTTAAATCAATTTTTATTATGAATTTTAATATTGTATTTTATTTTCAATTACAGGAAGAAAGTATTAATCTTTGAATCGTTCGTATCAAAAGTTTCTTTTTGATTGAAGAACTTGAAAAAGCTTTTCATAAATGTAGAATGATCCTATCAATAGAACACACTCTTATGTGATACTGATGATTTTTAACATTAGTACTTGTCTATCACTTAGCAACGAATAGAACTGAACGAATGTTTATGGCGAGTAGATTTTCATCTAGTAATCGGTGATCAAGTATTGACATTTATTGTATGTTAAAATCCTATAGGCATTTGTTCAATTGTAAATTTTACTTTCATTTTACATCTAAAATAAATTCTATTTTACAACATATCCTTTTCAAGTCAAACAATAATATGTATAATATTTTCAGATTTAATTAACATTGTAAATTTGGTAATCGTATATAAACATATACATATATATTGTAAGTAAAAAAAAACTCGATAACAATATTGTCCTTGATATAAAAAAAATCAAACATACATAATTCTATTTAATCTTAAAGAAAAGGAAACCTTATTAAAAAAAAAAATATTTTTTACATGAATCCATATATATATATTATGTTATAATCTTACATTTTCGCTTTCGTTCATTATTATTATTATTATTATTGTTGTCGTCTTCCGATCAAAATCATTTTCTATTAATATTGACATTGTCCGGAAGAAATAATCTATCATAAGATCAAAACTCATTTTTCTTATTTCTGAACATAACAATATAATCATTGCTAGTTTTTTCTTTTGTTTATATGAAAGAAACAAAAAGAAAATGGTACCTATCAAATTCCCATTTCTTTTTCTTACGTATATATAAAGAAGAACCATAGATTTTTCAGTAAGCAATCACACATTATCGATCGAAGGAACATATTTGATTTAAATATGTCTTGTTTGTCTTTTATGTTTGATGAAACATTGAATGGATAAAGAAGAAAAAAAAAAGTTGATGAATGAAACTGCAAAAACCTTGAAATAACAAAAAAAGAAAGTGAAGACAGATCAGCTTTGAATGAATGAATATTCAACGCAATTTTTTTTTCAACGTTGTATAACGTAACTTGTTAATAAGATTCATAAACATTTCTTTATTTTGTTAGTGAAGTGGATGTGACCATTTTGAGATTAATTCATTTTTTTAATGCACCCAATTAATAGATTTTAAAATGTTGAAATAGAAAACATTTTGTTTTTTCTTTTTGTCAAGAAGGAAGCACAATGAGCAATATGTATGAAGGCATGCGACTGAAAATTTAAAGTAATTTAACGAACATGTTAGATAAACATATGTAAGTTCTTTTAACTAATATTAATCGATTGTACTTCGCTAACATTAACAAGAAAAGAAATTTGCCATTTATAGTCTCATTTAAATACAAAAAAAAAAAGAGAAAAAATGAATTATCATTTAATTCAACTTTAAAAAAAAATTAATTAAATGAGTTTTTTATTATATCTACTAGAAAAATATTCTCAGGTAATTGAAAATAATTATTAAATATTTCTCATTGTTTCTACTAAATATCGATCTTCTTTTCATATGAATAATTTTACTAACCACAAAACCACAATAGTTCTTATCGTAGCAAAGTATCTTTTTTTCTTTTCCTTTTCTTTTTCCTGTAAAAATAAAAATTCTGTCATACATTTCTCAACAACTTTAGATTTACTTGAATCAATCAAACATTTGTTCAGATTCCTCTTATAACATGGAAGAATGCGTAAAAAGTTTTGAGAGAATGAAGAAGAAACATAGCATTTCATGATCCAATACACGATTATAAACAAACAAAAAAAAAGTGAAAAAAAAAAAGAACTTTCTTTTTTTTTGGTTATGTCTCTTTTCTGTTCTTCTCTTCTTCAGTAACATTATAATCATTGTCATCAGTTGAGAATTTTTTGTTACGATTACATTGTCATATTAACAAGCACAAGAATAGTATCAATTTACGTAGATATACACGAGTTAATTTATTTGTTGTGTAAAAAGATCACTCGAGTTAGAACAACACGTCGTGTTTCTTTTTTGTTTTTTTTTTTCTTATTGATACTTATTTATTATCCGCAATATGGTTGATAACAATAGTCTTGATATTTCGATTGTACGTATTGTGCATTTTAATTTGTAGTTGTTTCTTATCAAACTTTCTTTTGATTAAAAATGACAACTTTTTTCTTTTATTCTTGTTTTATCTATAGCCATTCGAAGAAATATTTTCGGATTATGAAGAAAATGTTGATAATCGAAATGCTTTAGTTCGTGAAACAACACGTGATATATTTTCAAATCGTGTTCATACACCTCCACCATTAATACGGTCACGATCTCCATTTACAGTTTTAAATCAAACATCAAATCGAAATATAATGAGTACACCAAATCCGACTCAACTTGCTGAAGAAAATCGATATTTAAATGATGAATTAAATCGAGTTGAAACTGTATTAAATTTAACACGTGCTGAAAAAGATGAATTAAGTATACGTTATAATGCATTATCAGATCGAGTAAGTCTTTTTTTTTAATAATTATCCTTAGACTATTTGTTGAAGACCTTGTACAAAAAAAAGAAGTAAAATTTTGACTATACATTTTAATTTCAATGGTTTACAAACATAAAAGACTCATTTTGTTTTTTGCTTTTATATTTGACATTGATTATATGCAAATCTACATATGTTTCCATATGGATTCTTTTGAATCTTATTGTTTTTAATAGCTTGAACAATCATTACGTGCACAAGGTGTTGATATATCATCAGATATTAGTAGTTTTGAACCTGAACGATGTATACTTGTTCAACAAAATATTGATTTAAGACGAAAACTTGAAGAAGAACATCAAAATTATAAACGAAAATTATCTAATTATCAAGAAGGACAACTAAAACAAGCACAACTCGTACAAAAGCTACAACAAAAAGTATTTAAATGAATAGTTTTATTCTTTTGTTGATAGAAATGAAAAAACCAAAGAAATTTTTTTCTTGTTGCAAGGTTTTACAATATAGAAAACGATGTTCAGAATTGGAATTATTAATTGAACGCCAAAAACTTGATATCGATCATATTCGACTTCCTGTAAGTCTATATATATATTCATAGAACAACTTTTAGATAAGAAAAAAAAATTTTATATAGACAAATACTAATGTACAATCTTCATCAACATCTACATTGATTTACGAATCTCGTATTAATCAAAATACTGATGAGCAAGATGCTACAGCTATTACACTTGAAGAAGAAAAAAAGAAGTAAGTGAAACATTGTATAAACCAGAAAAGAGACCAATCGTTATTGGCGTGTATTTATTAATTTTTTTTTGCTCCTAATATCTGATAGAGAATGTATAATAAAACTTTTGAAAATTGCCTATGTCAATTATCTCTATCCATAAATGGAATAGTATGATAACTTGTCAATTCAGTGTCGGTATGGATTTCAGATTGGTTTCATTTATGTTATAAGTATTAATAATTTAATACAAAATATGATGGAAATATGAATTATTTTCATAAAACTTAAATCAGTCAAATGAAATTCGACATTTCATATTTGATACTAAGAATGAGATTTAATTAATAATCTAGTTTAGATGAAAATATTGTTTATAATAAACAGAAATCTCTTTGATTGTCAATAAGTTGAATATTTCATGAATAACTTTTTATCAATGAATCAGTTTGATTAATAGTAATGTTCGGAGTAAGAAAAGGTTAAGGTGATGACCCCTCTTCAATTTTGAAAAATTTTTATGTTTCTTCAATGTTGTTTTTTTCGCTCACCTATCCATCACTAAAAAAAAAACACGCAGCAAAAATCTTCCAAATCATCAATTTTTGTCTCTATTCTGATGACCTCGTAACATTCATATTTATTAAATATTAGATATAACCTGATGTCTTTTTTTTTTTGTATCTATTCAAGATCATCTAATCTAGCTGAAATAAATACAATATTAAGAGAACAACTTGATCAAGCTCATTTAGCTAATCAACAATTATCAGGAGATTTACATCGTCTTACTAATGAACTTCAACAAGTACGTGAAGAATTAACAAAAAAAACACGAGATTGGAAACAAGAAGAACGAGTTAGTTTTTTTTTTGAATTGTTTATTCTTTTAAATATGATATAAATTATCATAGATATTCAATCATTATTATAATAATGAACATAATCTTATATATGATTTATGGCGTGATATTGTTTCATTTCGTAAACAATTTACTGAACTTAAAGGCATTACTGAACGTGATTTAACACGTGTTAGAAATGATCTTGCACAAACAGGTCGATCATTAACAAGTGCTTGTTTTGGATTTTTAACTACAACTAAAACAGCGGAAATTCAAGGACAAGTAAATTATTAACTAGTAATAGATTTCTTTCTTATATATATATCATTTTGCAAGGCTACTACTGAACGTGAACGTATTGATCGGATTAATTTAGAAAGTCAAATTCGTGAAAATACTCGAGAAATAGCTGATTTTCAACAACGGTAAGTATATATATATATATATATTCTATGGTTTTAAAAATCATTTATTTCTTTGAAATTTAGATTTCACGAATTATCACAACTCAATGAAAAATTACGTATGAAATTAACTGAAAAAGAAAATACTATCACAAGCCTTACGCGTGCCAATCAAACAACAGTAAGTTTACTGTCATTGAGAAAAAAAGAATCTATTTTACTTCATCGTTATATTCTCGAGAAGCTTTTGAAATTTTTATAATTTTCAAAGGAAACCTCAAAAGATTCATTATTCTTCTAAAAATTTACTAATACATTTTTTTGTTATAATGTGTAATTAAAATAACTTTTATTCAATTATTTGACCTTGTATATGATTTCATTTAGAGAAGAATTCTAATATGAAAAAAAAGAATCTATTTAATCAATATTAAGTTTGATCAGACATGTGAAAAACAAGCTTCTGTATTTAATTTTACAATAAAGTGATAGGTGTTTCTTTTTTTTTTGAAATTAATATCGAGGAAAGTCTACGGTACCTACAATTAACTATGATTGTTATGTACAAAAGAAAAAAAAAGGAGATGCATCACATTTCAATAGGTATTTATAATGATTAAGCTAATGTCGTTTTGTCGTATAGTAGTTTCGAGTTGTAATTTTCGTTCGTATTTATCACACATCAAAAACAACATTGATTGTTAGAAAGTGCAATTGACTGTATCGTCAGTCAAATATTTCGTTTTCTTTCTTGCGTTCCCTGTTTGTTGACATTGTAGTATTCGCATCAAACTATATACATCAATAAATTTCAACGAGAAAGGCAAAGAATCGAGAGAAAAAGTGAAATTGACAAAGAAGAAAATGTATTTTGATAAAAGAAGCCCATTAATAAATTACACAGTTGAGGCCACAATTGTTTACTCTACAGTGGTGGTGGTGTTGCCGACAGTAGCTGGAGAGAAAGATCAAACAACAACTACCAGTATTGCTGTTAGTTGTTGCCGAGCACTTGTTGTTTGTGGTACACTATTATCGAGATGCTGCATCATAATGCGGTTGGAAGGGTAAGTCCGCAAACATAATTTACAATTCAACCACTGAAAGTTTTTCTTTGCCTTGAGTCTATCATTCGGTATTCGATTTTCAAGAACTCAGTAACCTACATGATTCGAGGTCATTTGTTAATAATATATTCTAACATTTTTTTTTGATAAAACAAATAGACAATCAAATTAGAAAACGAGAACAATACTAATGAGTAGAAGTAAAAATATTGATCATTAGTATTCACATACTGAAAACTGCTGATAATATTGGCAGACGGTTGTAATTGAAGAAAAATACTTGCGCCGCCGCCTGTCTTATATAAGACCTTGAACATTAGTTAAGATTGAATATGAGACGAAGACAATAGTTTAACAACTGTGCATCTACTTTAAAAGCAAATAGGCTCGTCAAAAGTTGTTTACAAAATTTGCTCAAATTTCTGTTTTGACAAATTTTGCTTATTTTATTTGAGTGAAGCCCCGACAGGTAGTTAGGAGCAAAGAAAAAAGTCAGAAATGAAATAAGATGCTGTTGCTGTTTGGTATTCTTTCTTTTTTTTTTTTTATTGAAAATACTTTATTGAGAGAAAAAGAGAAAAAAATTCTCTTCATCGTCGTCTTGCGGTGTGCATAAGTACCACCACCTTCAGCATCAACGCTTCTCTTTTCTTCTTCTTCTTCTTCTTCTCGCATTTCGTTTTCATTCATTCATCAGCATTGTTGATTTGGTTTGTGGTTTCTGTCTGACCATTATCGTAATGTATCGACGAACACAGGTATAAAGCAATATATATAATTGTTATAATTAATAGTTTTTTCATTTCTTCTTCTGTATATAATCAACAACGGAAATTTTTCATCAAGTGTTTAAAAGAAAATTACTAGAGCAATACTTGTTCTATAATTTATTGTTTTTCTAACCACTCATAGACACATTTCTTCTTTGATTTTCTTTTTTCTCTTTTCAAAATGATCCTATATTTGTATTGGATCCGTTTATTGTTGTTTATAAATTTATAATAAGCAACAACAAAAAAATGTGCTTCAAACTATTTCAATCTTATGATTATAGGAAATATCTTCTTCGGCTATGGAAACACGTACACGAGATATCAGTGCTGATACAGAACGGGTTCATCAACGATTGCGAGATATGGCTCAGGCTATACTTAATGATGAAGATTATTCATATAATATTGATGATGGAGGGCGAACATCACCTCGTCGTCTATCACCATTACGAGGTGCCGATCGATTTGAATCACCTGAGCGTGCTTTTGGTCGGTATGTTATTTTTAAATTTAAATATTATATTTAAATAGCTCAACAAGTTTGACAAAGCAAATATAAATTTGAGATAAAAACATAACTTTATTAGTCAAATTTGTTAGTAAGAGCATTTATTTTTCTTGTCATCAACAAAATAATATACATTGAACATGACATCAATGGTTTCGTTTAGTTTATTTAAATAGACTAGAGAAAAAAAAGAAGTGTCATGTTATATAAAATGGCTTTTCGTCAAGGCTTTCCATTTTCAAAAAAAAATATAATAACAACTTGAATTAACCTTGAAATAGTGATCGATTTTATGAAAGAATAAATAAAAAGTTACTTTTCAAAGAATTTTTATGATCCTCAAACGTCAGCAACTTTGTCTTTATTCTTAGTTTTTGCTTCATTCAAGTGTATTCTATCATCAAAATTTAATATTTATTTTTCAATATCGAGAAAAAAAAAAGAAAAATATTGAAATATTTATTTTGTAAAAATCATTTATATTAGTTTCAAATCAGACAAGACTAATTTTGTTTCATTTGCAATTCAAAATAAGAGCTTTTTTCTGTTCTTTTTTTCTTTTTATGAATTATTATAAGGTAAGTACATAAGTAAATTTTCTTTTCTAATGTGCATATACAACTAATGAAAAAGAAACATTTCAATTGAATTACGTTCTTTGAGAACATTTAATGATAATGTTTTTCAGTGAAAAAAATAATTTCGCTTTTAAATAAACGAAATTGAGTTATAGAGAAATCATGCAGCAATGTATTTTAAGACAGATGCTGAAGACAATCATACTCCTTTCTTCTGACTGTGTGCATTCAAAAAGAATGAAAAATAAGTCAAAGTGACTTCTAATAGACTACAAAAACATTTCTTTAACGAAATTTGAAATTGATCATTGGGATACCTTAAGATAAGAAATATTTACACCTTGAGGACTTTAAATAAGGACAAACAACACAATCATATATAAAATTCTTTTGCATACCATGTCTGAGGTAATGAGTGAGCCATATAATGAATAGTTGCTTTTTGTACTTCACTTTTTCATCACTAAGTAGGTTTTATTAAACAAAACAAACTATATTATAAAACGCAGCAAGCAAAGCCCTACAATTTTCAAAAAAAAAAGAAATGTTATTTTACGTTTCTCCCTTTTGTTTGAAAAATAGACAATATTCGATGCTGCGACCGAAATCATTCTCGACACATAATAAATTTCTTTTTTTATTTCATCGTTTAAAGAATCATAGTTGTAAACTTTAATTTTGACAATAGGGTCTCACACATATATTGTATATTTTCCATCGTCCGTCTATTACTTGTCAATTTGTGCTGTAAATATATGCTAATAAAATTTGTTTTACTTTGGGTTCTTCTTTCAATATCGGACTCTACTAAAATTCATTATTATCAATAGTCTTGACTCACTTAATTCTTTCTTCTGATTGAGATCCAATAGCTCAAGATTCTTTGTTCAACACTTGTCAAGTATTTTTACATTACGAAACTTAACGTTTTAAATTTTTCATTCTCAACTCAGATTCTTATGAACATATAAAACGATATGAAAAAAAAACATTATTTTTAGTCTTCGTTCACCTCGATCTATTTCACCACAACGTCAAGTTCAAACATCAATAATACGTTCACGAAATGTTTCACCATCATTTGCTGATAGTACATTTAGTGCTGTTCATGCTGCACTAAATAAACGTCAAGTTCAAGTAAATTAATTTTTTCGTTTTCTTTTTTGTCTCTTATTCAAAAATTTTTTAAGATTCATGATTTACAAACGAAATTATCTAGTTTACGTGATTCAAATCAACAATTAAAAGATCAATTAAATCAAAGTGAGGCTGAACGACGTCATTTGGAACAACAAACAACAAGTTATAAATTACAAATTGATGAATTACGAAGACAATTTGATAGTACAGCACATGAACGTGATCGTTCAAAATCAGCACTTGAAACATCAAATCATGAACGTACAAATATGGAAAAAATTCGTATTGTAAGTTTTCGATTTTGTAACACCCGATCTACCAGAACAATATCAGTATAAGAGTATAAATGTAGACCTTCCAACAAACAGTGTGTATTTTTCGGTCAAAAAAAAACGTCTGAGGGGAAGCCTTGCGCATATTGTTTGATTAGAAAATATCTTGTGCTATACGTCGCCCGATGTAGTATCACGTGTTGATTCTGAATATGTAATCGTTGTGTAATGAAAACCTTTCTACATTCGGAAGTATGAGAACTATCTGGAAAACTATGCTTTCTTGAAAAGTCCGTATGTAAGTATAGAAACGTTTGTATTAATTGTCTTGATAGAGCTTAGATAGACGAATACTTTGAACAAGTATGAATTATGGTTAAGGATGACGTGCTCATTATGTTAAAGTCAGTCATTCGAAAAATCACTGCAGGAATTTTTTCGCTTTATTTTAAACATTCATTAATACAAATTTTATTTCTTTTTTAAACTTGATTTTTTAATGACAAGAATGTTTTCAAGCTAACGTAGGAACGTTTCTAAATGTCAAATCCCATTTGAATGAAGGATATTTTAATGGGTAGGCTCTAATGAAGTATGAGTATTCTTAAAAATTGTTCAGACTATTAGCTTGTGTTTTTGAGATACAGACTTAAGCTTGGTTACTTCAGTTCAGAAATAAGAACATCAGAATCTGCCGATGTATATGAGCGGAGTAAAAAGAAAAACGTACGCTTACCATAGATGTATCTTAGGATATAAAGAACCAAATGATCTAAAACTTTCACAATTAATTGTTCTGATAAAGACTTTTCTCTGTGCAAAGTTTCAGGTAGACATTGAAAAATAAGTTTTTCTGGTATTTCAAAGGACATACATTCTTTTTTAATTTTTGATTGATGAGCTTGCGACTCTACTTTGAAATCCGAAACAAAACCTTTTATGCCAATAGATACAGCATGTCTAATAGTATATTTATTATCATTTGAATTGATACATATGTTCGTATAGATGCGCAATGTACTTCTTCCATTGATGGCCTATTAATAATGTCTCGTGATAATATATGAACTGAACCCCTTAACACATAAGAAAATCCATTGATAGTCTGCTAACAATTTTTAATTTCAATTCATTTTTTTACAATAAACCGTTAGTAAAGCAGTGTTTTTCACTTACCTTACACACATTGAATGAGACAGCAACATATAATATCTTGAAAAAAAAAAGAAGAGAATCGTGAGTAAGAAAAGTATTCTTAAAACGATACAGTCAACATATTCTAACATCTTGGTACAATATCTTATAGTACTCTTTTTTCTAAAGAATAAGATCTGTTACTGACAACATTTACTTTTTTCAATAACTAAATAAATAAAAAAATCAAAATTAACTCTTTTTTTGTCAAAATTATTTCAGTCAGTTGCTCTTGTTGCAGTTTGAATAGTCTAAATAGATTTCATTTACATTAGAATGTGTATTACTTCCAATCTAATTTCAATGAGTATAATTGTCTACCAAACATCAATTTAAAAAAGAACAACAGTTCAGTAGATCTTCTGACGTTTTTAGAAGAGAGAGCAAAGATGAAGAGGAATTTGACGAATATATTCTTATTATAAAAAGATCTCTTCATCTGTAGCTCGGGCAAACATACACTGCATCACTTAGATCTTATGTTCTAGGAACGTTTTTTGTTATTCAGAAACAGTCAATGAGTTGCACAAATTGATTTTAAAGAAAAAAAACCGATTCTTAGAGTGAGATCTTCTCATGTATCAAATGCTTTATGTTTTTATTGCATCTCTAGAAGATTAAATAAAAGAATGGTAAAGAAATGTGTCCTAAAATAGATAGAAAAACCAAAGTCTTCCTATGATTATTAATAGGAACTGCATCGTATTTCATATTTTTATTACACTAACAATTTTCTCTTTAAAAACTATCTTGTTTTTTTTTAATAGACACTTAATGCTCAAATTGATTCTTTACGTGCTGATTGTGATCGTTTACAACAAGCAAATACAGAATTACAACGTCAACGTGATTTACTTGGAGAAGAAAAAGAAGATTTACACAAAGATAAAATTCGACAAGTTAAAGAAAATGAACGTTGTATTAAAGTTATTGAAAATCTTGAAAGTAAAATATCACAATCGAAAAATGATGTCACAGAATTACGTGAACAATTTCATAAAGAAAAATTAGCCAAAGATGTTTTAACACAAGAGAAACACGTTCTAAGTAATTTGATTATTTTTCTTTTTCGAAATGAAAAGAGACTATGAAAATTTTGTTTTGTTTTTTTTTTTGTTAGCCGATGCACTTTCACGTTCAGAAGCTTATCGAGCTGAAGTTGAGCTTGATCTTAGTAAAGAACGTAGTGAAAGTGCAGCCTTAAGAGATCTTCTTTGTAAAGTTCAAGCACTTAATGAAGGACTTGCTCAAGATAAAATTGAATTAAATAAAATAATTCTTTTGGTATGTAAAATTTCATTTGAATATGTTTATATTAAAAGTTTGTATTTAGGTTGAACAAGAAAAGAATTCCATTCATCATGAAAAATCTGACGTTGAATTAGATAAATCAACACTTCGTCAGGTATTTTATTTTATTGACCTAATTATACGAAAGTAAAAAATATGTTTTATGTTTATAGGAACTCGTTAAAGTCGAGCAAGAAAAAATTGATGTTGAGAATGAACGAGATAGTAAGTGAAAACTTGAAAAGACACAATTTTCATCGTAATAAATTACTAAGTTGAATACGATGGATTAAGAAAAATTTGGGATTGAGGACAATATTTTTTGCTATGACTGGCTCGTATATCTTTATTGAAAATAATAACTACAAGATTGATACTTATTCTAAATAACATAACCTATAGTACAATAGTCCTTCTGTGATAACATTGAACAATTATCATCACCTTGTTTCAAATAGTAGTTGTATAGAATACTATTTTGTATACCAATTGAAACCTATGAAATTCGAAACGCGAAAACAGTTTTTAATCACTCCGTTTGTTGTAGAAAGCATACTATAGCGGCTATTTCAGATTGCCATTGAAATTAGCTATTTAGTGGTATGAGATTTCGCTTATTGTAATATCTTATTTTGTATAGAAATCAGTGCTTTACAATAACATTGAACTGAAATTGTTCCCAGGTAAAAATTACGGATTAGACCAAAACTCTGTTTTGCATTCTACAGACATAACTCTAGACTTTTTCACAAGATTTACTAATAGTTGTTCAATCTTCATATATTCGAAAATAGAGGAAAAGTGTGTGAATATTTTGAGCCAAGACCTTCGCATTATAGATTATTTGTCAACATATACATATTGAAAGTGAAAAATGATATCGGTGATAGGTTGCTTATTATTGGTCATTATGGTGAACACCTGATCTATAGGCAGATTTCAGTGAGACTAGGAAAACCGTAATAGGATTTAACTTCATGAGCCTTCGGTGCAGAGTTTTTATCTAAAGTTTAATTAGACGAATCCTTTGAGGCTTTTGCTAGTCTCACCCAGACTTACTTCCTAAGCTAAATATGAAATCAATGCGTATTTACAAGATACTGTATGCAAGCCTCGGTTCCATCAGGCATGAAAGAATTATTCATCGGTTCGATCGTATGCTGATTATGTTGGTGTGAATAAGGAGCTCAAGCAATTGAGTATTAGAAATCTATATGAGGCTGACTTTCTATCTAGAATTGCAGCTAGGATTAATTGTAGGGAAGATGTCGAGCTATTGAATGTATCGCCAGACAGAAACCCATATCGCAAGCTAGGAGGTCTTCATTCTCTTGATTTTTATTACACAAATAAGAGAAATAATTGTCGGTCAATTTTTTATAATTACTCAATAAGATAGTAGATGAAATATTTCTTTTCTTTTAGCACTCCTTCATCGTCTTCAATTAACTGAAGTTAGTCGTCAACAAATTGAACATGAATTGAATATTGTTAATAAAGACAAAGCTGAAATTATTGAACAATTTCAACAGGTAAAAATTAAATTTTAAGAATAAAAAAAAAACGGGAACTATTAAAAAAGACAAATTTTATATACTTTTTATTTAGATGACTCGATTAAAAAATACTTTAGCTGAAGATTTAATTGCAGCTAAAAAAGATGTTGAACGACTTAGTGAACATAACTTACGTTTAAATAAAGAAAAAGAAGAATTAACTAAAGAACGTGGTAATCTTGTTGTCGACCTTACCGGTACTGAACGAGACAATCAAACATTAAATTCAGTAAATAATCATGAAAAATTCTTCTATTTAATAAAAGACAAACCTTCTCTCTCTTTTCTTTTCTAGACAATTAGCGCATTACGTGCTGAGTATGTTGAAGTTATTTCTTTTTTTTTTTTTGTTCCAAATAAAACATCATTTTTTTTTAGCAAAGAAGCTCTTGAGACAGGTCTCTATGACGCTCAGAGTACGATCGGTCAACTTGAAGTTAAACGGCAACAACTAGAAGGTGAAAATCAAGAATTACTCTTACGTAAAGAACAACTTCAAGGTGAAATACAACGACTTCATGCTGAATTACATGCTGAAATCGAAAAATCTGCTCGTACACGAGATCATTTACAACAACGTTTAGCACAATTAGAAAAAGAGAAAGAAACAACTATTCGTCAACATCATGAAGCTCATGAAGATGATATTGAACGTATGACGCGTGAACGTGAAAAACTTCGTCATGAATTAGAAACAGCACGTGAAGAAACTATTCGATTATTGACAAAAGAAAAAGACGATACAACACATCGATATGAAAGAGAAAAAGAAGATTTACATTATGAATTAGCTAATGCTATTACAGAACGTGATCAAGCATTAATTGAAGCTGAAAATGAAAAACAAAAAGTAAGATATAATATTTTAATTATATGAACGAATGTTCCTAAAAATTGTTCTAAAACAATAAACATGATATTATCTTTCTGATTGAATAGAATCGACCTTAGAAAAAAAATATCGTATCGATAAAATCAATTTTGGTCATACTCTGCACATAAATAAGCATAACCGGTAGAGCAGAGGTTTTTTGCAATATAATCTCAAGTAATAAAATTATTGAACATCAAAAACTTAGTTTTTTTTTTGTTTCATAATAAATCTTCAACAAGGAAAATTATTAATTTATCTTTTAGTGTTTCTTCCAATTGCTAAAAACCACAATCAGTTTTTGTTCGAGACTAGTAAATGAATTTTTTAAAGGCCTAAAAATTAAATTAAACAGTGAAATAATAGGCGTTTGCTAATTTCGATAAGCTTCTTTTCGAAAGTACCAAAACGATATTCAAATAGGTACTTTGCACAAAAGCTCCTTTTTACACAAAATTCCAATAGTACATTCTGTAAGATACCTTCTGCTTGATAAGCTGTCATATTAATAAAACTGTCAAAATTTAGTTTCTAGTTGTAATTATAAATATACAAAAGTGTGCGGTAAAATTTTCTGTAAGTCTTTCAAAAGACTATCTCATTGGTTTCAAGAAATTTTCTAAGTCTAAATTCGTAGGAAGCGCAAAATTCTGATCGTAACCCATAGCTTTGGACTCTTTAGAATCAATACAAACCCAACACTTTTAGGTTCTTATTAGGACACTATGTACTTAAAACAATATATAAAGTATTCCCTAAGATTCATTCTACGCTTCTCTTACATATACTATTATCAAATGACCTTCAGCTTATACATATTAAATAATTTTTTTTTGTTTAGCTTCTTTCTATTGCTCAATCTGAACATAATGCGTTAGCAGAAAAATTATCGTTAACAAAAGATGATTTATTACGTTTACAAATTGAATATGATAAATGTCGTCGTGATGCAGCATTACATCGTGAACAAGAACGTCAAGTGATAGTATCATTACAAGATGAATTAAAAAAATTTCAAGTCAAATATGAAGATTCAACTATTGCTAGTGATCGTGATGTTAAATCATTACATGATGATCTTGAACAATTACGACAAAAATCTCAATTACAAAATCATGAAAATTCTGAATTAAAAACACAATTAAAATTAACTGAAGATAATCGTGATCAATTAAAACGTGATTTAATTGATGCTAATCGACGTATTAGAGAATTTGAAGAAAATGTTAATATACAACGAAAAGAAATACAAGATTTAAAACGTTATTTACAAGATGAACAACGTGATAAAGATTTATCATTACGTTCAAGTGATGATTTACGTACAAAATTAAAGACTGTTGAAAATGAAAAAATTGATTTAAAACAATATTTGGAAGAAGCTAAACAACGAATTGTTGGTAAATGATAGAAAGAATTTTTTTTTTTTTATATAACTTTTGTTACATATATAGGTAAACAACATATTCTTTTATTGATAAAAGAACAAACCTTTCGTTTGTATCTATAATTAAAAATGAAGTTAATAATTACTTCATATGAATAGAATATAAGCTTTTCTTATATTTACAGATCGAGATTTTTGCGAACTATCTCAAGCATTTATTTTAAGGATCTCCGACTCATAAAAATTCACGCACGATAAGATGGGAATCCTACCACCCTCTAGAAGCTTTTTATAATGTATGATCATTCACTTGTGTATTTGAGATCAATGCATATGTAAGAATTTAGACAAACGGTTTTTTTCGATGCATAAAAATCCTTGATATTGAATATTGTCGCTCGATGCACCTTTCTAAAACGCTTCGACACGTAGTAAAATTTCTTTCTCTACTGATATATATATATATACATGACTCAAAATGTAATAGAGACAGCACTGTTACCATGAGCTCTTGATACTGAAAACGTTTTTTTCTTGCAACAAAAAAAGAATACATTTCTGAAATTTTTTCAAAATCTGTGCCATTATTTCCTCTATAGAATCTATTTATACACAAAGTTTCGAAAATTATCCGAATATGAAATGTTTTACATATGTTTCGTTGAAATACTAAAGCTCGTCGAGTCGAAAATTGTTGGACTTCGCCCTTGATTTGAACGATTTCGAATGCACACGCGAATCAGTCATATCGACTTCCTACCATTGATTAAAATTATACCCAGCACATCACTTGATACAGAACAGCATAACTTTTCATGCTGTATATATGTCAAAAAGCTTCTAAGGGTTGGCAAATTTCATTCCTTATCATGCGAGGTCCCTTGAAATTCATAGCTGCGTGTAGCTCAACTTTACTGGTCTGTATTCATGGAATTGGATCTATAGGTGTCTTATACTATAACTGAAAACTAGCTTAGGAAAGATTAGCAAAGCAACTCAAGGGAAAATTAGAAAGCTTCATTGTTTCATTTGCTTCGTTCTCTGATGAATTCACTTGGTTCAAAATATCCATGTACCGGGTCATTTGTCTACAGTGTACCTTTTTTTCAGTACTCTTCTGAGGATCGTACCTAATACATAAGTACTTATCAGGTATCTGTTTACTTTCTATAATATTATAAGAAAAATTTTTCAACAAGCTAGTCGACTAAACATTTAGAAGCATTATGTAATTATTAGCTGAAAAACTCATATAGTAGCCAAAGACTTTTGTGACAGTCTAGTAGCAGAATAAGTTGAGTTCAGTACATTTACTTGGGCTACGATTATTACTCTACATGCTATTATATTAATCTATTAAAAAATTGAATTCTTTCTAGTTCTTGAAGAACAAAAATGTCAATGTCAAAAAGATATCAATGATTTGCGACATAATTTACGTGATGTTGAACGTTCTCGATTAGAAGCTCGACGTGAATTACAAGAATTACGTCGTCATGTTAAAATGCTTGATGGTGAAACAAAAAAGAAATCTAAAGAATTAGAAGAATTAGCTGATCGTGTACGACAAGATGAACAACGTGAAGATGAAATGCGTCGTGAAGTATTTGGACAAAAACAACGATTTGTTGAAGCTGAAGCATCACGAGAAGTTTTACGTAAAGAATTAGCTAATATACAACGACATTATGTTGAATTAGAAGATGAACAACGAATGAAAGATCGTGATTATAAATTAGCTGTTGAAGAAGCTCGACGTCTCGGTAAAATCAATAAATAAAAAATAAATCAAATATATTTCAAAATTACTTTGTTATTTTCTTTCTAGAACGTAAAGCAATTGATGAACGACGAAACGTTGAATTAGCACTCGATGGTGCTAATCAAATGATTTCTGAATTACGTATTGCATTATCAGGTGCTGAAGGACGAGCAAGTGCACTTGACACACAATTAGCACGGTAATAAAAGTTTTCAACTAATTACTTCCCATAAAAAAAACAAAGAAATCTTTTCTATTTTTTAAGTGTCGAAGGAGCTAAACGTGATGCTGAATATAAATTAGGTAGTATTGTATCAAGTTTACGTCGTACAATTGGTTATGGACCACGTAGTGGTAGTGGTACACGACTTCGAAGTCGTTCACCAAGCCCAAATGTTCGTCGTCGACCAATATCACCAACAAAAGGTTTTGATAGTAATGAAAATCGTGCATCACCTATTTTACGTCGAACATCACGAAGTCCACATCATCGTTCATATTCACCCGGTTTAGATGATGAACAATCCCCAGGTTCAACTTTTGTTGATGTTGCTGATATTGATCCAGAACAAATTCGTACAGCATTAAGAGAATTTGTTCAAAATTTTATAACAACAGAACGTGAACGAGATGATTGTATTGGTAAGATATTTAAATAGAAAAGAAACATCAATTGATGTATTTATTTGTTTTTTTTTTAAAGTTGAAGTTACACAACTTCGACGAACAACCAAAGACCTTGAAGAAAATCTTCAAAGAACTGAACAACGACTCAGTCAATTACAAAAAACACTCTTATCAACTGAAGAAGGTATGATACATTACTTCCATTGAATTAATATAGGTTGTTTTGTCGTTTCTTAGATAAGAAAGGTGTTGATACTTGTTTACAAGGTGCCCAAAGTGCCTTAGTCTTACAAGAAGAAACAATACGACGAAGTGAACGTGAACGTAAAACAATGTTAGATCAAATAAGTGGACTTGAACGACAATTATTAGCTATGGAAAATGAAAAGAAACAAATTTTTGTATAATTTTCTTTTTCGTGAAAAAAATTATTTAAAACTATCCGTTTTTATTTTTTTTATAATAGGAAAAAATGGGTGTATCCAAATCAACTGAATCACGTTTATCTGATGATAAACGTTTATTAAAGCGAGCTTTAGATGAAAGTGAAGCTCGTGCAACTGAACTTGAAATGAATAAACGAGCATTAGAAGGTGAAATTCAACGTTTAAATATGATATTAACTGATAAAGACACAGAAATTCAAGTTCATCAAGAACGATGTGAAACATTAATTAGACAAATTCAGGTAAAATTTAAAAATAAAATGAAATTCTCTCTTGTTTTTGTTGAAATAAAATTTTCTTTCACTTTTTGAAAAAAAAAGGAACGTGAAGATAAATGTCAATCATTACAATTAAGTGTTGATCGTCTTTCATTAACATTAGCTAAAGCTGAAGAAGGTGAATCAAGTTTAAAAACACGTGTACAATCACTTAATCAAACAATATCACAATCAAATTATCAAACAGCTGATTTACAACAAAAACTTGGTACTATACAAAATGCCTTACAAAGTAGTGAATCTGAACGACGTGTTGCACAAGAAAAACTTGAACAAGCACGGTAAAAATGAATATATATATATATACATTTAAAAAGGAAACAATATTTTATTTTATTTAGTTCACAAATAAGTGAACTTAAAAAACAAAATCATGAGTTACTTGAACGTGTACATCATCTTCAAAATGAAGTTACCGATTCTGATATGAGACGACATGAATTAGAAAATCAATTACGTAATGCGAATACTGTAAGTTTAAAATAGAAGAAGATAAAGTTATATGTAATTAATGTATTTTATTTGTTTACTTTAAGCTTCTTGTTCAACGTCAAGAAAGTGAACAAGAAGCAATTCAAAAAATTTCTCTTCTAACTGCTGATAAACAAGCTTTACAAGAAAAAAATAGTCTCTTACAACGACAATTAGGCAATCTTGATATTGAAAAACGTGATGCTGAACGATCAAAACTACGTTTAGAAAAAGATAAATGTGTTTTAAAGAAAACATTAGATAAGGTCTGTTATTTATTTTAGTATAACAAACAAAATGTTGTTTCTTTTTTTTCTTCTAAACAAAAATATAGGTTGAACGTGATCGCCTTATTACTGAAGATATTATACGTTCATGGGATCGTGCTGAAATTGATCGACAATTTCGTCGAGTTGAAGAAGAAAATCTAGCTTTACAACGACAAGTTGATAATTTACAGGCTATTCTTAATGAATCAGAACATCAACATGCACAACGGTAGGTTTATTAGTTATGTACTGAAACTTATACAGCGATTAGAGTCGAGAACAAAACCTAATACGATGACTTAAACAAAAGTCAAAGAGTAAGCAAACTTTGGCCAATAAGCATCTCGTACTTCTGCCAATAATGGATGAAAAACAGAAATTTCTATATGAGAAGCTAAGAATAGAAAATAGATTATCATACAAATCATCTTGTGTTATGGTATATTATTAACATTTTTAGTTTAATTGATTTTAATACGCGTAATCGACGTGAAACCGAAGCTGAAACAGCACGTATTCGATCATCACAAACAGCCGCTGAACGTACTTTAGAAGCACGAGAAAAAGCACATCGTGCTCGTGTCAAAGGCCTTGAAGAACAGGTAATTTTCTTTTTTCTTTTTGATTTCATCTCGAACTAAATATTATTTTTATATAAATAGATAACAACACTTAAAGAACAACTCCATCAAGAAATGCGTGGACGTAAATCATTTCTTCATCGTTCATTAACAAATAGTGACGAAACAAATGTTATTCGTCGTGAAGTAACCGATTCAATATCAGCTATTTCTCATGATCCATACAGTCTTGATCCTGTTCTTTTGGATCATGAAACAAAACGATTAACTGATTTACATGAACCACCTATACGTTATCGTTCACCTACTCGACGTACTATATCACCAACCATTGCCTTACGTTCAATGCGAGCTGCAGCTGCTGTAGCCGCATCATCATCACCATTGCAACTCGGTTCTCAATCACCGAGTACGCGTGTACGTTCATCACGACCCCGCTATTAAAATTTGATTATCTGTAGGCATTAGAGAAACATATATATATACATATATAGATAATCGGTTTCTTTCAGAACAGTGTGATCTATAGTTGTGAAATATAAAAAAGTAGTCGTCTTTATGCCTTAAAAAAATAAAGGGTGTCATCATTAGATAACAGTGAATCTTCTTCTGATTACCTTAGAATAGAACATATTTTTGAAACAACATGAAAAGAAAAATCTTGAAAAATTAATCTTTCTTTTTGTTGCTTTTACATTTGCTTTTTTTTCCTTTGTTCATTTTTAATCTCACTATGTCATCTAGTATCATTGTAGTTTTTTATTTCTTATTATTTAGATTAATTTTTTTACGTGGCCTTCTGATTGTGTCAAATATATTTTCTCTCTCTTTCTTTCACCTGGCTATAATTTGTTGTCTATGTTGGTCATATTTATGTAATTCAGAAATTTTCTATCATCATTTCTTTTCTCTTTTAAAACACACCAATTTATGATTATATTTAGTTAATTATATTTCTCTTTTTTTTTATATGAATTGCATTTTTTCCTTTTCAAATAAACAAGGTGTATTCTTCAAAAAAAAACAAAAAATTAAAGAATAAAAGCTATTCGAATAAATTGTCGAGGATGTTCGTCTAACGAACAAACTTGCTTCTTACAAAAAGACATCTCCTATTGGAATGCCGATATCGAAAATCAAATTGCATTCCTAGTATGTCCATCGGGGTGATTCTCGGCGCGAAAGCTTTGGGCCCGATGGGCTCTACATCCTAGACATATATCTTCCTCACTTTTGTAAAAAAGAAATCTTTCACACTTGAGTTTTTTTGGCTATTATCAAACGAATGAATGTTCCAGAAGTATAACTGTTGATTCGGAAAACTGAATTTTATATAATCATTATTAAAGTGCAAAATATGAATCAATGTAGAGAGTCAATTTTTTTCATCATGCTTTTGCCAGATTTTAAACATGTTACTTTTTCTACTATAATGTCATGCAACCTCTTTTATCAAACTATATCTACCGAGTTCTAAGATGTCAAATAAATTCATTTGAAACTATATTTGGATAGGAATTAAAATCCGTGCGACATTGGGTTGTCAAATAAAAACAAAATAAAGATTTGTTTGATTTATCACAAAATTCATGAATCATGTACCAATTAGAAGAAAATATAATCAAGATTTCCTAACATTGTCAGAGGTAAGATGAACGTTAGATCAAATGGTATGTCCGACATTCTAAAAAAAGAAAGTCACAAATATACATTTAAGCATTGTTAGACGTCGATTACGGGCAAGGTCGATAGTGCAAAACTAGACATAACCAAAATTCTTCGGATAGTAAAATATCCTTTCAAGTTGCAGGTGTAAGATTGCATTTAAAACAAAACAACTTTCCATTCAATGCATTAATTTCAAAAACTACTTGACAGAGAATTTTATTGAAGTATATATGACAAGAGCTTTATGATTACTCCTCATCGGACATTTCTAAAGGGCGAATTGGTTGGTCTCAACAAGAGGACAATCATTTTCAACACTAATCCTATTTAATGATCGATTGGTAGATCAACGCTCAAATCCAAATTCTGTCCTGGTTCCTCTTCATCATCAGATCAAAATATAATCGAAAACACTTGGTGGATGATGATGAATAATTTCAAACAACTCAAGCATTATATTAAGGAATAAGAAGAGCAAAGAAAACTCTAATTTGGCTTGCTAGTTAAATTGGTCGATATAATTGAAAGAAAATACACTATTTGATTTAAGCGACTGGTGATCATGAATTATATCAAAATAAATTAAAACTGTTACGCATTGGCTCAATCTTAAAATTAAAAGAAACATGAAAAACACCAAAACAAAACTATCGGAAAGAGTTTTCTCCGGTGATGAGCACTAATCAGAGAATAGTTTCAATTGCCATAATCACCTTCACTACAGAGTTATAATCATTTTACTGAAAACTTAAGCTATGAAACGGTATGTACTAACAAAGCAAATAATGATATTACAATCTGAAATAGTCACAAGTAAACCTGTCTGTGAACAACGTTGTAGTTATAAATACGATCATTTGATTTGTTGGTACTTACTACGCGTAGTTTAAAATTCCAGTAGGATGACTGTAACGCTTGAGTGAAGGTCTAAGGATACTTGTACTTTGTTGAGCTTTTTTAAACACTGAGATACAAAAATAATTGTCAAAATTTCCAGACCTGGTACTACGCTCAGATAATGTTATGGGGAGTCATCCTTTTTACTTAAAACAGTATGTTCTAAACTTTCTTCCATTAAAATTAAAATATCTCAAACTATCTATCAACTACCATATATTCTAATCGAAAATAACTCATTAGAAGAAATTGAGAAAAAATTGAAAACGAGTACAAAAAAAGAAATCGACAGATAGTTAGCGTTGTTCGTTGTTTTTATTACGTTAACTTTCAGTCCGAATACCTACAAAATCGTACTATAGTATATAACAAAATCTCGAGAAGAATGTGGGAGTGAGTGTGGATGCTCCATTCATGGACACCACACCTATACCCACACCCTAATAATTGTAAAAGATTATTATATCAGATATGTTGAAGGAGAATCAGAGAGAGAAATATTATCATTCTTTCCTTCGTTTCTTTCGTTGTTGATTTAGACTACGTGAAAATTATATCATTTATTTCTCCGACGATATTTGTCAAATAGAAGATATGAGCCGATTAGATTCTTTAGATTATTTTCAAAAAACTGAACCATGTCGCACTATTCTATTCTTTATTTGGCATTAATAAACGATTAAATAAAATTTTGCATGATCCAAATTTTACAAGTCATTTTGATCTGCTGACATTTTTTTTTGGTTGAATGATTCTATGTATCGATTACCTTCTCCAATACTTGATAGATTTTGTTTACAAATTTTACCTGAAATTCATCATAATATCGAATGGTTTAATGTTGAATTATCATCAATGACACGTATTCTTCTTTCTATACAAATCATCCTAATTTATATGGACTTAGTTTATATAATCTTGAAAACAGAATGGCAAAACATCTCGTTTCTGGTAAGATATTTTACATGATTATCGTTCATTCTAGAACAAATAAGACGTATATTAAAATCAGCAACACTGTACATCGTTGTATACTCTAATTTAGTCATAAATCATGGGGTGTGGGTGTGTGGAGGAGTAACTATGAGGCTTCAATTCCACCGCACTCACATCCATATCCATACCCCACCCCACACCCACACTTTGAATTGCTCAGATGTCAGTAATTTATTTTGAAGAATGAAGTAAAATTGAATTTTGCAGTTTTAGAATTTTCGATTATGTTTGCAAATGAAAGGATACGGTTTTAAATTGTTATTTCGATAGGTACTATTATTGAGGAGATTGATTTTGTTCATATGAATTATAAGAAGATGATAATGCCGTAAGTTCTCCATCATTTTTAACTTGTTCGAAAAAAAAACTGGTGCAAATTTTTTTGTAACTTCTTTGGGTTTCAGTATATAAAGATGGATGAAGCCCATTATTAGGTAATGGATTTTTATAGATCTATTTATGTCTAGAGTATTTTGTTGTGTTAACTGGATCATTTTCACCTTAGTATTCAGTATCAAATTGATGAACTGTTTGTGAATATTGTATTCATTTTTGACATGCTAAACCACGTTGTAAATTCGATGTAAATGATTTTTTTATTTGATTAATCAATATACACCAGAATGTGAATTGTGCTTCCTCTTTAAGACATAAATCACACTTAGTTGATCTAAATCACATAAATTCATGAGTGTAACATGTTGTTTAATTTCATCAAGTCATGTAATAATATTATTTTGTCTACCGTAAAATTTAATTGGGTCCTTAATGAACCTATCAATTGATGCTTTAGATATTGTTGATGGTAAGACAGAATTCGATAAATGAGTATTACTGTAATCAATTGATGTTGCTTTATTGC